CGGCCACCATCCGCGCTCCTCCGGCTTCCCGGTTTGGCCGCAGCCAATGCCCGGCCTCCGCAGGCCTCCCCCCTCACCCCCGCGCTGGGCAAAGCCGGCTGAGGCCTCCAGGACCCACACGCGGTAGGCGGCGGCCCGGGGAAACGAGGGGAGGGGGGTGGGTCGTACCTGTGGGCCGGGTCCGCACCAGAGGAGAGCTGGGTGGCAGCGTGCGGCGGTTGGGCGGCTGTGGCGGCGTGGGCGACTGCGGCGGCGTTCGGCTGCTGCTTTCCCCCCCCCCCAGCGAATGGCAAGCCCCGCGGAGCTTGACAATGGGCACAGAATGGTGCAACCAGTTGTTTGGGTCAGTTGTCAAACATCCGAAATGAAGTCATGTGACCATGGGTTGTGGGTAGCCATTGGAACTCAGGAACCAGGTTGCCAGTAGCATTTGGGAGGGTCTGTCACAACAGTTGCCAAGTGACTGATTGTTAAGTGAGGTCTACCTGTGTACAGTACGTAAAACTGCCATCCTGATTAAATTGGTACTGAGTGCGGCTGAAGTTCAACATATGAAGCTTCCATTCACCAAGTGGTGGGCAAGCCTCTTATTGCATATACCAGGAATATTCCATACTGCTGTCCAAAATTTATAGCAAGGATGTTTCCTGGGCCTCCCTCTAGGCAGAAATGCAGTCTGTGGCTACCTTCTCTGTAACAGATGATAGGCCTAATCTGTATCTCCATTTGGTTTATAAATTATGAATGAAAGTGAATATACATGTCCCGGGATAATATTGCGGGATCCAACATTATGGGTCAGTCACCAGGACCAGAGGTTTAGTCTTCCGAGCTTTCAGACTTGTGCTGGAGTCCATCATTAGGAAACTTCTGAAGTCCGAAACCTTGGAAGACTAAACCTCGATGACTGACCCAGATTGGATCCTGGTTTATAATTTTTTCCTGACCTGACCCTTTTTTTTGTGAGCCTGTCTCTTAACTTTTAATCGTAATAGCATGAATGGTTTGTTATTGTTTGCTTTCTAAAAGAAGTAACGTTATCATCAATTCACATTTTACTGTTTGCAAAGTCCTACTTTATTGATTTTATTTATTTATTTATTTTATTTTTATTAATTTAATTTGTACCCCGCCCTTCTCCTCATGGGACTCAGGGCGGCTAACAGCCTCATAAAAACCACAATACAAATACAATGATATCTATATTAAAAACCGAATTAAAAGGAAATATTTAAGAAGGTGATGGTCTGGCTATTACATTTTGTTAGGATCCTTTCAGGGTAATCTGAAGCCCTCAGGAATTTCCAGAGTAGATCCTGCTTCATTGGATGGCTCTATGTTCACTTTAGATCTTGTCACGATGCTTGCTGTTCATCCTAAGTAACTATGCTTGGGCACTGAATTTTAAACAGATGTATGCTTAGATTTTAAATAATGCTACTGGGAAGTACCCAAGAAGTGGCCTTAAAATGTGATAATGCCGTTCAATATATTTATCAGTTATAAAATTTGGAATGCCCATTTACAAATTTAACGAATGAATAAGACAAATAAATTTTGATTTGACTTTATCTTCCCACCATTGCAGTCCAGTGTTTAAGACCGTTTCCAAGTTGGAATGCAGCCTTCAGGCTGTAAATTTTTTCCCCATTCATTTTGTGTATACCTGTTTAATCAAGCATGGTCTGTTCTACCAAATGCATCCCTCTCACATGTCTTTTTTGCCACGCTCAATCTTTTAAATGAAGAGGCTGTGGGCTACAATCTCTCAAATTATTGATACTCTTCTTACATGCCTATTACTTTTTCAAACTGTTTGAAAAATGCACGTCTCTGAAATCTCACCAGTATTTTATTTTTCATAGTTGTCATTACAGGTACTTCACCAGGGAGGATAGGAAGAGCCCAGCGCCTGGTAGTACATAAATATAAGCACGTATTAGTTCGAGTTGCAATAGATATGCCCACAATATGAAGTTGTTATATATGCAGTTTTCTCATTGATCAGAGGCTTTATGCTTGGCTCACTTAGTTCCTCCTGATCTGACATTCAGAATGCCTTTCGCTTTTCATCTTGCTGAGCCAACAATCGCTCTGACAGGAAAATTTATTGTAATAGCACTCACAGACTTTCAGACCACCACATTCTTTGACAATCCTTTTTAGCAGTGGCTTGTCAGGAACATTCAGATCACTTGAGTCTATCGATGTGATGTTGCAGTTGCTTCCTGATCAGGCTCAGGCATGCTTGTATCATTAACTCTTGGTTTTTATTTACTTATTTTTAAATCGAATTTGTATAGCCACCCAACTCGCACATAGGTAACTCCAGACAGCTTACAAAATTTAGAAAATCCACCGTATAATAAAACTGATTTTAAAAAACTTTCCCACCCTTCCCATGGCAGCAACAACACAATCAAATCACTTGATTGGATCCATCTCCGTTCGTGGGCCCCAGGCCCATTGACAAAGCTATATTTTTAGGGGCTTTCAGAAAAGCAATAGGATGGGGGCCAACCATAGCTAGGGGGAATGATATTCCATAAAGAAGGAACCACCACCGAGAAGGCCCTTTTTCGTGGCGTCACTAGATGGCAGTCCCTAATCAGTGAAACTCATAGCATGCCTTGCCTTCCTCCTGATGGGCCAGGTAAATGTAAGAAAATATTTTAATCTTGTAATCAAGAGTTTTTGAAAGTTCTAGGTCACAACCTATGAAAATCCAAACAAGGCAGAAAGAAAATCACATTTGTTATCGTGGACTCTTCAGAGTCCATATCATGATATGATCTAGAGATTATTTAACAAAAAAAATGTTTTGCATAGCCTGATATTAAGTAAACTTCTCCAATACCCACCAAATTTTATATAATTTATAGCTAAAAGATATTTTTTTTAAAAAGCCTCAGTAGCTTTCCCTTCCATTTATTCAAGTTACATTGTGCAGGAAAACGTAAAAACTCAATACCACTTCCTTTAGAGAATCGTTTTTGTCAAAATAAGTTTGACTCCTGGGCACTTAACAGATATTTGTAGCAGATTTCTTGGCCGCAGTATGGAAGTGGTTTGCTTCTGCATTATATTTTTCTTGTTTAATTGAGTGAACATTCCTTGCACTCTGAAAGGAATCAAGGGAAGATGGTGTTAGAGCAACCAGGGGTAGTGATATCTGGGTATTATGAGCACTGAGGTTCAATACAAAATATCCTTAAACTGATGCAACACTATGTTGGGTTGAGAAGGCTGCATTAAAGCACAACATCCTTTACAATCAGCTGAAGTAGGTCCTTATCCTAACCTCTCAACCTAGATTCCTTGTTTGTTTAGCAGTGAAATTAAATGAATAGGGTCGCTTAGCCATCTTGCTTAGTACAATTGTTAAATGTGTTTTGGTTTTCCCCCCCTCCCAGGTCTGTTATATTATGCTGGGCATGGCTATGAAAATTATGGTAATAGTTTTATGGTTCCTATTGATGCTCCAAATCCTTATCGAGCTGCAAACTGTCTGTGTGTACAAAACATCCTCAAACTGATGCAAGAAAAGGATACTGGCCTCAATGTCTTTTTACTGGATATGTGCAGAAAACGGTATGATATTGTTTTCCTCACTTAAGAATTCAATCCTGATCATCCAGGGCCCAAGATACATAGCTATATGGATTCTACAGAAAGAAACATGTTAAATCAGCTAGCTAAATACATGTTTCACAATTTTCCAGTTCTTGGGAAATTATTTTTTTAAAACTTAGTTTTCAGAACAATGTCAGCAACGATCAAGTGAAATGGGGAGCACCTGAGCTAAATTTCAAGTGTTGTTGCAAAGGATCTGAATACTTATGCCAACGTGATATTTCAGTTTTTTCTTTTTAATAAATTTATAAACATTTATAAATAAATTTATAAACATTTCTAAAATTCTGTTTTCACTTTGTCATTATGGGCTACTGAATGTAGATTAATGAGAACAAAAATTAGTTTCAACAACTGTAGAATCAGGCTGCAGCATAATAAAACTGACAAAAGTTAGGAGGGTCTGAATACTTTCTGAATGGATTGTATGTTTCATTATGTGATTACCCAGTATTGTAAATCTCTTTTCTTCACTGGCTCAAAGAGATTTTTGCTGTATATGAACATCCAAAGAAATGAAATGGTTTGAAAGACTGAATTTCAGATTCCAGTTCTGTTCTTTAGGACTTCTCTCCTTTAATTAAAAAGCAACATGAATTGTTTACCAAGTTGATGGAAGCACTTCACACTTCTGCTTAAGTATCCATTGGCAGATTCTTCCAAGGGAGTGAAAGAAAAAGATTTAGAAATTAATAATAATACACATGGGTCATAAAAACATTAATTGTTCTATTCTTGTTTGACTGTTCTATTCCAATTCAGTATTTTTTAATCATTTTTATTCTTATGTTATTGAAGGAATGAATATGACAATACCGTTCTCATCTTGGATGCTCTGAAGGTTACAGCTAACATAGTTTTTGGATATGCCACGTAAGAATAGCTATTAAAGTATTTATCTTTTTAAAATATGGTAACTTATTTCAATTTCTAACTAATAATAATCTGAGTTATCTTTGTTTTTTAAAGTGGGTATTACATGAATAAA